AGAGAGAGAGAGAGAGAGAGAGAGAGAGAGAGAGAGAGAGAGAGAGAAAGGCAGCTGGCTATAGTGGTATGAGCAATGAATCTGTTTGACAACAATGCAATGTCACATCTGCAAAATCCCCAACAGGAGGCAAAAACAAGTGTCATTAGATAGCTTCCTTGTTAAAGCTGTACAAAAAGAAAGAAATTCCAAGTCTGGACACAGTAGCGCATGCCTGTAATCCCAGTGCTAGGGAGGCTAAAAACTGGAGGATCACTACAAATCTAAGCTATGTAGTGAGACCCTGTACAGAATACACTAGAAAAAAGAAAAAAAGAATTCCATTGAGCCAATAGACAGCAGTGATTCTATCAGCAATAGCAAAAGGCATCCTACACAGTAACCTTCCTCTTAATCTCATGCCAGCCACAAAGTTTTTCAAAGGTAAGTGCAAGTTAATTTATTTTTCTTTATTTTTTATATATTATAGTACTGTAATCATTTTTATATGAATATTCTGGGGTTTTGGAATGAACTCATTTTCTATTATTTCTTTTTTCTTTTTTCTTTTTCTTTTTTTTGCAGAACTGGGGATTGAACTCAGGCCCTTGCACTTGCCAGGGAAGTGCTTATTCCACTGAGCCATCTCCCTAGCCCTCATTTTCTATTATTTCTTATGGGGATATTTGCTTTGATATGACCAGTGCTTTGGCTTACAGCACATTTCCAGCATGAATTATGCTCACAAACTGGTTTTACCACCTTATAATCTATAGAAGAAAACAAGAATCTGTTAGTTGTAGAAATACAATATTTATGAGAAATGAAAGCTCTTTCAGAATTCTAAATAATAAATGTGGAAGAACAGGGCCAGCCAGATAGTTCAGTGAACTAAAGTGCCTGCTTAGGCAGAGCATAGCAGCCGGGGTTCAATCCCAGGCCTACTATACAGCCTCCGTGCCCGGGGCATGCTGACAGGGCCACTGAGACTGGGTGTGTGGTGCTTGGGAGGCTGAAAACTGGAGAATCACCATGAGTCCAATCTATATAATGAGACCCTGTAGATCCTGTACTAAATACCAAAAAAAAAAAAAAAAAAAAAAAGAAAAATATGGACGAATAATAAAGATACAAAAATCACTATCTGACAAACACTGGAACAACAATTATTTTAGGAAAGAATTATCAGTGAATGCTAAAAATTTAGTGGAAGAATATTTGCTGGGAAAGTATGATGAAAACATTTACATAGTCTCCAAGTGTCCTTTGGGGAGCCTTAAAACAGCTTAAATATTAAGGAGGAAAAGAACAGTAATTTATATTAGCAATACAGTCTGGTGACAACATTTTAACCAAGTAATCAAGGTTAATATCACCAGTTAAGGGGAAAATCATGAACTTCCCAATGTGAAACACTGAGGATATATAACTGCTTTTACTTTTGCTAAACATATATAACATGAATTTATTCATGAGGAATATATTATAAACAACCTGAGAAATATTTTACAAAATAACTAATTAGCACTTTTCACAAGTATTAATATGTCCCAGATTAAAGTAAACTATATAAATGTAATGGGTAGATTGATCTTGTACCAGAGAAAGGATACAAGTGGAGCTGGTAAAATTTGAATAAAGTCAATAGGTTGGAAAACAGTAATGTTTACTTGATTATATTAATTCCTGAGACTTGACATGGTTACATAAAATGTTAATGCTTGGGGAATCAAAGTGCATTGTACACGAGGATTTTTCTGAGCTACATCCACATCATTTTTAGTACCTTGAAACTATTTCAAAATCAAAAATCAATCTATCTAGATAACCTAATACTCTGAAGTTCTCTCCTGGCTGACTCCTCTGCCATCTGGGAAGCCCGTAGTTTCTCCTCGTGCTGCTCCTTTTCAGATTGCCTCCAAACATCATGCTCCACCTTCATTTTTTCTAAATCCACTAATCTGTTCTCAAGTTCCAGCCTAAAACAAACACATAAGTATGTTACAAGAATGACAGTAAAGATAATACAACAGTAAAATGTTCTCATGTTCAAGGACATATAACATGAACTAAGGTAACAAAGTACTCACTTTTCATCTTGTAATACTACAAGCTTTTGATAACCTTCTTCCTTGGCAGCTTGTACTTTACGTATTAATTCACGGTCTTTTTCTACTAAGAGCATTTTGTGGTGTTCAACAGCTGATTTGAGAATTTCATTGTCTGACTGTAGCCCTGGTGTTTTTTAAGGAAAGCAAAATATACTACATTCAATATTTGTAAGATGAAAAAAATCAGAACAGTAAACATTCATCAGTATGTAAAACAAAAAAAATTTAGAAAGTCTCTGTGAGTGTATTCTCAAAGACCTTTAACTCAATAATAAACTACTTAAAATAAGGATGAAACAGTAAAATTCAGTTAATTTCTCTGTCATTACTTTATTTAGCACATAATACACAAGAAGTTCTTAAAAGGTTACATACATTTATTCATTTCCATCTGGAGAGCTGGAAGGATCAACCTGGATAATACCCAAGGAGGCTCACTTACTGCAACTCACAAGGGTTCTGTGAACCAAGCCCCAAGAGTATCATAACAAGACTGGCTGGTAACACAATAAACAAAATCACCCAACACTTCAAAGTCTATGATTCTAAGAGAAACTTCTAAATTTGTCTAATGGATTCTCAATTCTTCCTTGTGATAAAATGGCAAGTACTTTGCAGGCAGGATAACTAAAGCAAATTCCTATTGAACTCTAAGTAGCACTAGATAAGAAAGTCTCTAAGAAACTTAATTCCCTCCATGGAGTAAAGTTGACTCCATGAGTCAAGAGTAAATAAAAATAAATATAATCATTCAACAGGAGCTCCTCAAGTACAGAGGCCAGTTAAACCACAGATCAACAGCCCACATAGAGTTTATTTTTGATTTTTTTTTTTTTAAAGACAAGGTTTCACTAAGCACTTTGGGCTGGTCTTGAATTCACTTTGTACCCCAAACTGGCCTCCTGCCTCAGTTTCCCGAGTGTTGGAATTACAGGCATGCATCACCATGGCTGGCTTATTTAAATAATTTTAAAAGTCAGAAACAACATGAATTCTGAGAAATCTTGATGAGACATTCCAAGACTAAAAAGGAACTTATACTGACTAAAATAAGCCTAAACAGAAGAATGCTCCAATGATAGGATTTACATTAAAAAAAAAAGTCTGAAATGCATTTATCCCACTTAATCTATGGAATTAAAATGTCCTAGAACTAGTAACCACATGATTTAAAGAGACTTAAGCTATAAGCCCAGGAAGGATGGAATCCCATTTTCAAAGTTCCATTTAATTACTTATCAAATAACTATTATATAAACATAGGGTTAATTTTCTTGAAAGAGCACAGAATAAACAAAACATTGAACATATACGCAAAAACATTCTATATGTACTCAAAGATTAAAATTCAATTTAAGAACCTAGAAATAAATATCCAAATTCATTTTAATAATGAGTTTATATATTAAAGTAAAAAGTAAAGAAAATCATTTACCATCCAGTTCGCTTTGAATCTTATTTCTTTCTCTTTCAAGCTCACTCTTAGCTCTTGCTGCCTCCAGTTTGATGTCTGTTATTTCTAGCTTATTTGAGTGTTTAAGCTCTTTTACCTGTTAATAATTGGAAAATGAAATTACTTTTGGTCTTTTTCTTGCCATTCACAAAACAGGAAGTGAGAAAGTGTCACGAGGAGACACCAAGAAAACACTGTCTTTTTCCTAATAAAACAGATTTTTCCTTACACTACAGGTGAAGTCGCCTCAACCTAATCATTCCTTAAAAGGCATAGTTACACATATCTAAAATACAATGGTCACAATTAGAACATCCTCAGGGTAAAAAGCTGAAACCTCCCTTCTAAAAAAGTGCTAAGAACAAAGAAAGCATTCTAGGTAGAGGAACAGCATACAAAATGTTAAATAAGTATAATAGTACAGGGCATGCTCCTCAAACAATGAGCTATGCTTTACAGTGTATCGCCTGCTAACAGATTGCACCACCAGAGCTCCTAGCTATGCTTTGTTACAGGCAGAGCAGAGGAAGGCGTGAAATCTGTGCAGGAGTGTCAAGGAGTAAACTCAGGCCAACCAAAAGCACTGCTTGTCCCACTACCTACAGAAGTTAGCAAAATTAACTTCAAAGTTAACTAACTATAAGTCTACTGTGTTAAGAAGCCGAAGGCA